CATTACACTCACCCCCACTCACTGTGTGGCCACAACTGTGGGTAAGAACCGAGCACCCCTCTACCACTCAATTCCACACTTAGATTCAGTCAGGCAAACTGTTTCAGTCGGTGTCTGAGTCATTCATTTTCTACAACAGATGTAAGGACACAGGCCATGTACCAAATGATGGACCAGGGCTTTGTTGGGCTGATATTCTCCTGCTTCATTGAGGATAAGAACACAAAAGTAGGGTTTAAGTGATAGCATTTAAAATATAAAGTTATTTTGATATACAAAGGGGCATTGAATTAATTAAATGATATTTCTCTTAGACCGGTCGAGTTCTCTACACCTGCTTCCAGTCTGTGCAAGCCCAGAAAGGCTCTGAGTAAGTGTGCCCCTGTTTGGTAACCACTGTTTGCAGTAAAATTAATATCCTATCCAGATCTCAGTTAAAACAAATAGGTGTTATCTCCCTCATGACTACTAATTAGAGGAAGATTCAATTGATTCAGTCCTTTTCAAAGCAGTTGTCCACAAAAATAAGCATTTAATAATATCGGCACAAATACTGAATTGCGTCCCTGATCTGTGTTGATAAAGGTACGAGAGAATCGAATCCCAATTCATGTGGTTCCGCACGAGGCCATTGGGAAAGTGTGCCTTGAATCAGCAGTGGAGCTCCCAAGAATCTCTGCCAGGAGAGCAGGATACCTACAGAAAGATTCATAGGTATGTAGCCTCGGAAGCCCAGGGGGCGTTGATTTTGGTTCAACGTTTGCTTCGTTGCGTGACTGTTTGTACTGAATGATATGTTTCACCAAAACGTTACCTGGAACCCCAATGTTGAATTACATTGAATTCTATGTAGGGCAGAAATGAGCGTTTGAATCAGGAAAGTTTCTTCTCACGACCTCTACAAGCCAGAATGTTAAATACAATTATATTTAATGTACTTAACCAAGTCCGTGCAGTTGGTCATTTTGGCGTTAGGAATGTGAGACAATATATCCACAGGAAAGTATAATTACATCAACTTTTCAACGCGCTGGTAGTGCATTCAGATTCTATCACCTGAAGCATGTGCCACAAAAAGAAATACATGCACGAGACACATCCATATTTGCCGAGCTCGTGCACATTTTACATGGTTCTTGTGCGCATGCTTCAGGTGATAGAAATCTGAACGCACTACCAGCGCTTTGAAAGTTGATATCATTATACTTTACTGTGGATATGTCTCACATTCCTACCGCCAAAAGGACCAACCGCACGGACAACCGTAAAAGTACATTAAAATATAATTGTATTCAACATTCTGGCTAGTAGAGGTTGTGAGAGGAAATGTACTCATTCAAACGCAAATTTCTGACTGACGTAGAATTCAATGCAATTCATCGTCAGGTTTCAGGAAACCCAAAACGGTGCACACCATTCTTCAACAGCCTTTAAGGTACATTGGTGGTTGTGGTGAGCTGTGGCCTGATAAATATGGGTGTGACCATTTTCAAATGGCAAAACTCCTGCAGCACACCATACACAATTGCCCTCTGGGCCACCATAATCATGTCATTCATCAACTGATTGTTTAGTACAGTTCCATTCAATTATTTAACGTTCAACACTGTTCTGTCGTACTGAACGCACCCCAGGCTTCTAAAGTTTTGTTCGAAAGCCTGGGGAAGTTCTCCTCAGGAAGATGATAAAAGGGGTGGAGTCTAGATGGAAACTAGTGATGCATTGAAGGTATTTGATTAAACTGGCCTGGGTTGCACCGGGCTATGGCCCGTCACATGACCGGGCGAAGCCAGTGAGGGAGGCGCTCCCTGGTACCTCTTTTTGGAATGTGTTGAGCCCCCCTGCAACTGCCTCTGCCACACTGAACAACACATTTCCCCTTTGTCTACCATAATATACAAATTGTCATGCTGCAAATGCAGGACTCAGGGCAGCTCATTGTGTATTGCTCATTGTTAATGGAGTAATTTTAAGTATTTCATTCCTTTGCAGCTTAACTCACCTGGATCCGATCACGAGATACACAATGGCTCAGGTTGGTGTCATGTATTTGTTGACAACTGATATTTGATTGTATCAGCTGCACATTTTAATATCACAGACAGTGCAGCTGTCTTGACTGTGCTTTCTCCTCCTGACGTGTGTGTGTGTGTGTTTGTGTGTGTGTGTGTGTACGTTCAGTGTTCATAAGAACCTGTGCAGTCAGATGTCTGCTGTGAGTGGTCCCCTGCTGCAGTGGCTGGAGGACCGTTTGGAGCAGAACAGACAGAGCGTCATTGAGCTGCAGCTGGAGAAGGAGAGACTAACTCAGGAGCTGGCAACCATGTGAGGGAGAGGTAAGGAAAATACTAATGTTTCTGCAGTGCCATACACCTTCTCACACGAGGACAAATGACTAAGGGAATCTCATCATGGCTAACTGAACTGGGACGTGAAATTTAAACCACCATCTACCTGAATCTTTCTCCATCTGAACAAAGTTTTCGCTCTGAACACTGTCTTTGCCTCCCATGCCACCACACACCTTAGGGGGTGTTTTCCTGTTAGGTCATGCTCTGTGTACTACTAAATGCCTATACTGTATTTTCAAGAACATTGTCACTCCCAGACTAAATGTAGTTTTTAAAATTCACTTTAGTTCCTTGGCACTGAGCATTTGATGCGTTTTTCATTTTCATCAACCTATATTTATGTTTTGAATGGAAGGTACAATGACCTTGAGCATGAAAGGATGTCCCTATGTGAATTGACAATTTTTAAAATGTGACGTAGTATATCCAGGTATTTGCTTATTCAAGTATTTTATGTTTCATGTCTTTTTATTTGTGCTCTATAATCATCTCCTTGACACATAATCTGATTGCTTGTAGTTATGAATGTTTTCATGAGTTAGTTCATGAAATGTATGCTATTCCAAACCATTAACCTGATCAGCTCCTGCAGAGTTTGAGTTCTATGTGAGACTTTTGGTCAGAAAAGCTCAGAATATGTTGGTTCTCTTAGAATGGCAGTACGAGAGGCGGTTTGTAATTAAGTATTTCATATGAGGGGGGGGTGGTGAGGAGTTGGGATATTACTCTGTTGGTTAATACAGCATTTTTAGCTAAACGACGTCTACATGTCAATTTATGTCTGTATTTTGGTGGAATCATCTTAGCTTATTAGCAGCCAATTGCTTAGTCATCGTTGTGCCTTGTCATGCTTGTATGGGTTCTGTTTGAGGGATTAAACAGCCCCCCCCCCCACCGAGTCGTACTTTTTTTTTCTTGATGACTCACTGTCTTAAATATTTGTGTAGTTGATTGAAGCCAAAACCATTCCAAATCTAGGCACACCACATTCATATGCAGCTCAATTGGGTGAGCGTCATTTAAATATGACTGGCTTCAGAGTCATTTTTCAAACATCTACATAATTTTTTTTTAGTACAGGAATGGGGTCTGCAATCTACCAACAGCACGTTTTGATGTTGATTGGTTAGAAAATCCCACATTTTCAGATGGCCTGGTTTTGTGGTGTACAAAGAAATATATTATTTATTTTTTAGCTTTGAAAAGGGTTTGTCTTCTGACCTTCTCTGAGAGTTGCTATAGGAACAGCTCTGGCCCATCTGCTGGGAGTGGTTCAGTATTCGAGTCATTGTGCTGCTGCATTCACATCAGGCAGAGAGAATGAGCAATTTCCTGAGAGACATATCTTCATTATGGCTTATCAATGATACCTCACGATGCTAAAATACCCTTTTAGTGAGGTGAAAAGAGTTGGTATGTGAAAGGAACTATAGGGGGCCCTGTTAGCAGTAATACCAACCCAAAACAGTGACATAAGCACAGGCATCAGTAGGGGCAGATGGTGTAGACGGTATTAATTTTTTGTTAAAATTAGATGTAATGTCTCAGAGCTGACTTGAAATCTGGCAATCTAAATGCTTGGCTGTCATCCTAATCACTACACAACAATAATCATCCTCATTACAGCCTCAATCATTTTCAATGTTCTATGTTATTCCTCTAAGGTCGAGGCATTGTCCTCCGCGATACAAGGCTTTCTGCATCTCAAAAATAAAAACAAAGACAGCAGATGCATGCTAAAAAGGTACTGAGGCTGGACTGGCCAAAAACTGAAGTGAATATTTGTGCTGTATTCTCACTTGGTTCGTGTAATCACATTTTCAATCAACATCCCAACCCCCAGATGCTCTGGTTTCTCTGCTGTCATAGCTTTGCAATGTGTGATGGCATTCCCTGCATCGTTCACTGTGCATCCGAACCTCTAGTATAGGGATGGAGGGAGGGGAACCCATGATTCTCAGGAAACTGAGGTTGGGTGACAGGTTATTATTAAAACTGCTGACCCGGAACTGCGTCTGAAACCAATGCTGCCTACTGTAATTCATGGTGACTTCTGCCTCAGCCCGGCCAAGGTTATATAGAACTGTGATATACTGTATTGTTTTCAGAATAGATCATGGTTTAAAGTCATCCTCCGTTAAAACCTTCAGATGACTTTTAACGTGCCACAGAAAAGGAAGCTGTTTTTCAGGTGTCATACGCTACCATTGCCACAAATGAAGCATAAAAAAAAGTGCCCAGGCTGTAATTGTGGTAGATTTATCAAATACTGTCATTGCAATTTAATCCAGAGGGGAAACATCTATTTGGCATTTCTTTTAGTGGTGTATCCAGCAATAAATTCAATTTATTGACCTCAGATGGTGGGGTTGAATGCTTTTCAGTTGGATATTTTATTATAATAATAATAATTTAGTGGGTGCTTATTTTTTCTATTTCACACAATGTGTATAATGGCATTTTTGAATTGGGGAAATTTTGTTTTTGCAATCCCAACTCTCCCTAAGAAACCCTCGGAGAGGGGGCCCCGGCCAGGGTCAGCCATTACAACGGCGACCCCGGCGCAATTAGGGTTAAGTGCCTGCTCAAGGGCACGTCAACATATTTTTTTGACTGATGACTCTCCAGTTTCAAAGGTTTGTTTATCTTTTCTTATTATTTATTTTTTGTCTGCTATTGCTATGGAATCCTTGTGCGAGACCAGTGGCATGACACATCCCATTTACAGTAGACCGCATATCTTTCCATCCCCCAAGGACTCAAGCATAGACCCGTGGTTTGATGGAAAGGTCAAGATAAAGCTGAATTAATAAAAACATGCATCAGCTGTAATTTGCTCTGTGGATGGAAATAACCACATTGTCATAGCCCATTGTTTGTGCTGGAAAAACTGGCCTTTCTCCCTAAGCACCCCCAATTCTTAAAAAAAAAAGCCAGAGAACTAGGGCTAAAAATCAGTAAAATATGCTACAATACAACAAATAAAAATGTCCATATGAAATAGAGGCATTGAAAACCAAACATATACACCACTATTACTGACCTTTTTTCTTTTTTTTTAACCTTTATTTAACTAGGCAAGTCAGTTAAGAACACATCTTATTTACAATGACGGCCTACACCGGCCAAACCCGGACGACGCTGTGCCAATTGTGCGCCGCCCTATGGGACTCCCAATCACGGCCGGTTGTGATACAGCCTGGAATCGAACCAGGGGTCTGTAGTGACGCCTCAAGCACTGATGCAGTTCCTTAGACCACTGCGCCACTCCGGAACCCCTGTACACACAAATGGGTAATTTGGATAAACATCTTGTTTTTAGACTACTATGGTCCCTACTATGGAAATGATTTTGATGGTGTGGATGATGAACATAAGAGAACAGTACAGTACTCGATTTCAAACAATGGTATTTCCACAAGGGGCAGTGCAAGCCTACTTACTGTGATGTTTACACATCAAGGGGTTTTTTCTGCTGCTTGCATGACATGCAGGCCTGAATTTTCATCACATAACTCAACAAAACCATTTAAAACGCTGATTACTTTATCTTACTAGATCCTGTACGTTTAGCACATGTAGGTTGCATGTACTCTCAAATATTAGCTTTGAAACATGAGAATAAAAGCGACAAAAAGCACGGACTGGATCTGGTTAGTTCTATGGACTATTGGCACTCTTATTGTTAAGCCTCTCTGGTTGTGGAGGATGTGAAGATCTAGAGAAAGTGACAACCACCGACATCATAGCAGTTCCCCTCCCATAATTTCTGTGTTTATTACTCCTGGCAGAAGGGCCTTTTTTGAGTGTGAAGAGAGGAATGGAGTGAAAAACTGCAAGCCTCTATGAATCAGAGTGGAGGGAGGGCAGGGGAGGGAATGGGAGCTGCGGTGGAAGGCCAGCCCATGATGGGACACAACAGGGTTAGGGCTACAACAGGGAGTATCGGGAGGCTGGCACACAGGTGCATTTCTGGCTTCAGGGTCTTGATGAACAGTCAGTCCCAGATAGTGACAGTGCTTTATGATCTCTGAAATAGACAGGGGCCGATCAGACACTGTCCTCTGCACGGCCGTACGCAACGCACACATATACACACTGCTCTAAAGCCCTTAGTGAACCTGAAGCCACTGGAAGCATACATTAAATTAACTTACCTGCCCCATGCAGACCCGGCGCCAGGATAAAGTGACTAAGGGGGAAGTTGAAATCGGCGTTATATGAATTCGAATTATATTGAATTCTGCTTATATCACACTATACAACAATAAACATAAGTTCAAATGCCGAGACTCAGATCATGAGTCCTTTTGAAGTGACAGGTAGGCTACAGATTTCGCACCAATCTCCGATGCGCTGTATCAGCACAATGGACTGCGTCCTACACACGAAAGCAAGGCCGTGTTGGTAATGAATAATAGTCTACAAGATAGATAGGCTGTTTGTAATAGGTGAATTACCCTATGCGAATGCAGCTGTCTTACCAAAATAATACAAACTAAATTAATGTGCAGCCCACACTGATGCAACCAATACGTTTTTAAACTCCCACAGCCAGGGTCGCAAAATGCAACTAAATGGTCGCAGTCTGGAGACCTACCTTGTAGACTTTTCACTATAGGCATACTCTCTAACTTTCGTTTTACGTCAATGAAAAAGGCCTCTCTTCACAATCAACAGTAGCCTAGGGCAAGGCTCCTCTCTCTCCTCAGCAGCAGGCCGGCTCCGGACAATTACAATTTTAATTATCGGCTTTTCATTTATTTTATATGCCAAATTACCGGCTAACGGAAACCCTGCGCCCCAGTGGCTTTCATAGACCCCTTACACACACTTAGGCGTCCTCTGTCCATTGTGCTAACACAACGCAGTGGAGATACATATTTGAACTTTTTTGGTATTTTATATAGGGACATAAAACTAAAACTGAGGGGCACAAGTTTCAACTGAAGGGGCGAAGACCAATGCTCCC